CAATATCTGGATGTTTCCGAAAATACGGAACACAAACGCCCACCTGGGCGAACTTCCATGATTCACGCATCCAAAAACAGAATCCCAAGGAGCTTTCATCAGGGTGGTCCCAAACTCGCTTGCGAGGTCATAATGCGCCCAAACCTATGGATACTGAGGAAAGCTCCCGTGGTTTGCAGCATGCTCCTTCAGAGACCCCGTCTGACTGCCCGTTCCTGGGCCACTTTCATGCAGCTGCCACTCCCTTGCAACACTAGCCATGGAGCTCTCAAAAGTGGATCTCCCTTTCTGTAGAAATATCGCTCTTCAGGGCTCCTTCTCTTTCGAACATGGCCGAACACCCAGCCCACAATGGGTGGTTCAACAGAAAGAGAGGTGAACAGAATTGGGAATCCCTCGGTATATGTTTGTTGGATTCTGCGCCCGGGGAAGAATCAGCTCCCTTGTCCACCACCCTGCACCCTGCCCAAGAACCGCCACTTCAGCCTCCCGATTCATACGGAACCCAAAGAGATCGTGCTTCACGAACATGACTGTCACAACGAATACGGCTCATTTGCTCGTATTTGGCCTCAAGGCTATCAGAGCCTTAACCGTTTGGGCGTTATTAGAATTTGCCCGCTGCCCCCCCCCCCCCCACCCTCGAAATAGTCGCTTTTTGCTTGGCCGCGGCAGCTTTGAGCCATCTGACGCTTGGCCCTCCCAACTCAAAGGGAGCAGCGCCCTGGGTCACGATTTCTCGAAGAGGCTTTCCCAGAAGGCCGGGCCTGGGTTGTTCCGAAGCGCCCGACTTGCTGGTGGAATGAGTGGATTCCTTCTGGCAGGGTATCCACATGGGGGGTCGACACACTGCATCTGTTTCTGGCACCAGGTCTTCGTGGACAAGGATTGGTGCGTAGAATTGTGAGAAGCAAGCGTGTTTCCGTTTCTCCCTTGCAAGGCGGAAACTGTTCCCCCTGCAAGGCGCTGTTTGCCTACACGGCACAACATGCTCCAAAGTCGGAGGCCTATAGAGCCTTAACTAAGACATGGTTGTTGACTGCTTTATCACTAGAAGGGGAAACCAGAAACTGTGCAAAGCCTGCCCCAAAGACGCCCCAACCGATAAAGCCCCGTTTAGCCATGCGCCATCTTATTTGGCCCAAGCAAAGGCTGTTGGCCCCTTCACTGTCGAGCAGGGCAATCAAAGCACTTTCAGCAAGCTCGTGGAATCCCTTGATTGACCCTTGTCTCGAAGAGAGCTCGCTATTTCCAACATGAGGTGTCAAAAAGTCCCCTCTTTTTGTGGAAGCAATCTGAAGAAAACGTCCAACAGCTTGCCCAAAGGCCTTCGGGCACCTCCTCGGAACCGGGAAGGCAGATGGCACAGTCCTACTTTACGCTGGTAGAGGAAGGGAAGAACTAAACCTAAACCAAAATGCGCGAATTGTACCATCTACGTTCACATGCATATGCGCCGCGGAATCCGAAGCAAGAGTGGAACTCCCTGAAAGCCCCAAGACATGCCTTGCCATTGCCTCTCCACATCCGAGAGGCGGATCTTCTCCAAGGTCAAGACCACCTGCAAATCGGATTGGGGTGTCCCACTCCCCTACAAACTAACATGGAACTCAAATCGGATTGGGGTGTCCCACTCCCCTACAAACTAACATGGAACTCAAAAGGGGGGGGAATCCCACAAATAGTTCCCTCTACAATTGGTGCTTCGTTGGGTTCCGTGTTAATCTGTAGGGGAGTAAAAAGGGTGGCAACCCCCTTTTCAAGTGGAATCGCAGAAGTGAGACAACTTGCCAACCTTGACAAGAGTTGAGTCTCAAAATTTACTTTGGGCAGCTTCAAAGGAAACCGCCCCCAAACATAATTTCAACAACCACTCAACAAGGTGAGCTTGCCTTTGGGATTTCCTCCAAAACAGTTCTCAGAACGCACTTGACAACGAGCACTTCCCGAGACCACACACGCCTGCCAAATGGTGAGCACACCCGCTCAACTGCACCCGCTCAGCACTGCTCACGTGCGCCCGCTCAGCACTGCACGCATGCCTGCCAAATGGTAAGCGCGCCCGCTCACTTGCGCCCGCTCAGCAAAGCACACCCACTCACGTGCACCTGCTCAGCACTGCATGCATCGTGCCGCAAGCACACCCGCTCACGTGCGCCCGCTCAGCCCGAGAGCCCGAGACCCCAGACCCGAGACCCGAGACCCGAGAAGTGGGGAGCCGCGGGCCCATTGTCAAGTTCGATCTCGCAATTCTAGAAGGGGTACCCTCACACAAACAACAATGCCCGAGTAGCGTGGCATGCCAGGGACTTGCTCAGAAAGGTTGACCGAACCTCAAATCATGCGGAAAACAACAGGGGTCAAATCACATGTTTAAGAATTCATGCCATGTTGCATGCCACTAAGTAATGCCCCTAGCCAAAACTTCTCATCCGATCCAATCAATCCCATCTCCCCACCAACAGTCGAAGCCAAGTGTTGACAGCCGAATCTAAGGTGTAGGATCTTAGGTGGAAAAGACAAAGGTAATTGTGCGGGGCATTTTTCCTTTGGATCCCTGAGAAGAATGAAAAAGGTACGGCTGGACTCCGGATTGCTTGAAAACCTGCGCAGACTTTGCCAGACGTTGGTGCTGAACGAAATTAAACAAAAAAACACCCCCTGATCTTTTCATGGAGCCAACCATGTCCCAGGGCCCCGAAAAGTGGAAACTCGTCACTCGTCAAAGAGTCTTCCATTTGCTTGAAAGTCGGAAACCTCCTCGCTTACCCCTAGTTTTCAAGAAGTGATCACAGTAGCACAAGAGGTATACCGTCACCTGATAAATGCACACATCAAGGATAAAGAGTCTGGCCCCCGGAAGGAGATCGCAAAACACATCAAGAAGCTGTGAGATTGGGTGCTCGATTGCCCATAAAGGCAAAATCATCAGAGAATCACATTGCTAAGCAGACGGAATGCAGACACCGCTTGCCTTCAAATCCCAACTTGCGCACGTTTGCATCCAGCCCAAATTTCTCCACCTATCACCGAAACCTGGTTGAAGAACTCGTTGCCTTTCCATCAAAGTGCTTCAAAACCCTTCTAATTACCCGAGGTGATGTCCAGAACATTTCTATTTGGGCTAGAAACCCATCCCCACCTTCCCCTGGGCTCGCTCAGTTCCAGCGCCTGCTTTCCGCTGTCCAGGTGCCAGGTGGAATCCTCGCCGCTGATCTTGTCGAAGAGCTTCCCCTGCGCAAAGTTGCAGCGGGCACGGCCTTTGCTTTTGCAGCCACAACGGAGCCGCGTCCATAGTAAGACGTCCTAATTTTGCGTGGGAGTTTTAATGCGGGACCCGAAATGATGGGCATCTATCAAAAGCCATAGCCGACAAATATCCTACGGGTCTAAATACTTAGAACGCGGTGTTGGGCTATTTTGCAATCGGAATGCGAGCTACCGCTCAAAATCGCAACCGTGAACTCCTTGACCCAAAGGAGGATCAGCTGGTACAAATGCATAGCCAAAAATGGAAAGCTAAAAACGAAAAAGCCAAAATAAAAGCCAAGAATGGAACGCCCCAACAACGCATGCTAAACAAAAGGCGAACCCAATCAAAAGCTGGATTCGCTTTGAGTTTCCTTGACGCATGTAGATACTTCAGGCAAAGGATCCCCACAGAACCCCTCAGCCGCACAAAGCTTGGCGGGTTGCCGTCCCTAGATTTCCCCTTAAAACGTCACCCTGAAGGGAAACTCGCCAACCACCAAGGAAACATGAAAACAGGAGCGTTTGTTTTATTATGAGTGGTTTCCTGTTGGTTTGCCTTCAAAACCAACCGAGACTAACCAAAGTGAGAAAAGAAAAAAAACGCAAGTGAGCGGTTTCCTTCTGTTTGCCCGGGAAACAAAAACAACGGGGGACCCCTGCGAAACGGGGGGGGAGGGCAGGATCCATCTGCGGTCCTCCAGCACTATCTCGCCCTTGCGCTTTACGGACACGGACTTCGAGGCGATCGTCACCTCCACCCGCCCCAACTTCGGACCAAGGAATGGCTTCCTTGCTGCCTGTCCAAAAAGGGGAAGGGTTGACCAGATTTATACGTTAGATTGGGTTAGCTTTGGTTAGATTGGGTTTGATTAGATAGGTTAGAGAAGATTAGATTTCGTTAGATTAGGACAGATTTGATTCGGCTGGGTTAGGATAGACTTAGCATGGGTTAGATGAGACGAGATAGATTTGTCGATAGACGGACGAATATATACGAGTATTGTGTAGGTCCCTCTCGCACAGCCTGGCTGAGCTCTTCCAGGTTGTCAAACAACACACTGATGTCAATGCCGGACTAATCAAGCTTAAAGATTCATAGGGGGCTTGTCCCCCAAAAGTGAAGGACCCCCTCTTTGATGGAATACCCCCTACTGATTGCAGCTCGCAATCTTGACATCACACCCATAAGGTTCACTCCGATAAAACGAGCATGAACGCGTACAGCCGCACCGCTTCCATAGCGCGAAAAAGGACTTCAAACACCCTAGTCATGCTTCAACCGCTGTCCAAACAAACTGCGTTTGTTTCCCTTTCCTAGTGCCGAATGAGGGGTTCTTCAAAGCTTCAACCTGCAGGGTCGTCATGGTCCCGCCCCAACCCCCAACAACAAAAAACAAAGAGAGCGACCTCCGATGGAAAAAAACAAAAAAACAAAAACATGAAGCTGCAAATGCGCGATCCTTCCAAGAATAGATTGAGCTCTGTTCGTCGCATGTGCACACGTCACTAGCCCTGACCTTGCTTGTTGTTCGCAGACATGGGAATATCCCCACGAGGCATTTCCTACGCTCGGCTGATTTCTTTGATTTGGCCATTTCCACAATCTCTGAGAACCAGCTGGCTGTTGATCCTGCCAAAGAGGCGCTGTGCTT